TCTGACGTATGGACTAAGCCTATCGAGGCATCAGCCTATCGAGGCATTAGCCTACTGTGGCCTCAGACAATCGTGTCTTATTTCATAAACACATATTACATTTAAATCTCGGTTCTGTCGCATGAACTAAGCCTATCGAGCCATCAGCCTATCGAGGCTTAATGAACAGTTTTAATGATTACTTAAAGCCTACTATCATGGGCAGTCGAGGCTTTCGTATGTATGTATCTTAATAACTCCGCCTATCAAGGCTTCGTTAAAATTCCCATTTCAAGTTTTGCGGCCAGACGCGGCTTCGTTCACGTTTAAAAATAAGCTCTGCCCATATAGAGTGACATTCCTACTCTCGATCTTGCTGAAGTCTCTTATAAGTTATCTTATCTCAGAACATATCGTAGTTTTAATCTTTTACGCTCAGTACCTGACTTTAAGATAAGCAATTAAAAGTCGTCTTATTGTCTTCCCTATTTATTAATCCTACTGTATGCCTTTCAGAATCCTCATAGGTATGTATGGAATTCATCACATTTTCCTTACTTTTTGGGGGTAGGCTCCGCCCCTGCCTCTAACATCAGGCAGGACCTACAAGCTAACATTCAGACCCTGACGGAGGACGAGGCCTACGCCAAAGAACTCAGAGACGGAGCTTGTCGAGCATCTACCTTTATTTTCGTCTGTAAACTCCTTTCACAAAATAAATTCTATTTATTTTCTTTATGTCTTTATGGTAGAACATTATAATTGTGTGCTTGGGACATTGCTTTTAATGGTGAGACTTGTTTTTGTAATCAGGCTCTCAAAAATGATAAAAAATTATTTTTGAGAAATATAAAGAATTATTGGTTATCGGTATCGACCAAAATTTTCATACCGGTGCATCCCTAACATTTATTCAGCAAAAAATGGATTACATTAATCAAAGTGACATTAAAACAAAACATTGGAACGTAGTGTATCTATATTCCCTAGTGTATTTTGTCATGGTAGTATAACTTGACTCTTGGTGCTACCTTTTCAAAAGAATAGCTTTAACTACTTTAAACTATGAGTAGCTTGTAGGTTGACAAGCTATAGTTTCAAGTTAACTTCACAACAATGCTAAATTATGTGGCTTTAACAAGCCTAAAACACTGTACACATGCTCTCACTGTGACTGACTTTTTCCTAATTTATGGTAAGTGTTTTCACTCAGTCTTGAGAGGAACGTGGCGCTTAAGAGAATTCAGCAAATTAAGTGGAGCAAAGCTACAACTTCACTGGGCAGCTGCTGATTAGAGTCTTTTAGCGTTATAGTGTTTGCTTCAGATGCCATTTCTTTTTGGAAATCCTTTGGATGAGCAATCAAAGTCAGCATTGCTTTCCTGTTCGTTGTGAGTTAAACCCAGTTCAAGGCTGTTGTTTAAACTGTGTTGTATTGCTGATCTGTGCTTAGAGAATACAGGGAGGACAAATCCATAGGGTAAAACAACAATGATTATCAAATGAATGAATCAGAAATGAGTTCAGGATGAGGTAAGACAAAATTCAGAGAAAGATGGGAACTATCAAAGCTCTTTTATCAAATGCACTCGAGTGAATAAATGAGATCTTTAATTTTACTGTGGCTTGAGAAGATCCACACACTGGCACACAGGCTGTTTTATTTGTTGCGGTGTTGCCACTTGTTCATCTGCCATTAATATGCAGTGAATCACTTTGCATGTGTAATAACACTTTCAAGAACTGACACTTCTTTGTAAAAAAGGCTCATATAAAACACTGTGGAATTGCAGCGGATTTCAAAAACTATCCAAATATGTTTGTATAGTGGTGTCTTGATGGTTATGATTGCTGTGATGATGGGCACACAAAGCTTTATGAGTGTCTTTCCTTTAGGTTGTGCTTTTATATATCTGGATGTGTGATGTTATTTGTTGTGTGTTTTTGCTGTGCATGGGAAAGAGTTGAACTCAGCTTAATGTACAGAGAAGGTCAGCCTGTACCAGACGTCCCTGGAGTTTCTTTGTTGGCTCGTTGGTTCTTTCTGTCTGCCTGTCTATCTATTATGTATTATATATGTGTTACTTTTAACATTCATGTTTTTTTTTTTTTTTTTACATATGTAAATACAATGTGTAATTTGCATATTAAACACATTTATACAAAGACAAACATGTTATGTCTATAAATAATTACATACATGATATACATGTCAAAAATATATTTATGTATACATAAATAAACATATTTATAAGGATTAGATTATGTAAATATATACAAATATAATTTTAATTTTTAATTCCATATACATCTATATGTTTTTACTTCATATGACAATATGTACATATAATTAATTTGCATATGGGCTAACTCGTACACATATGCTCTCAGATCCATTCAAGAACATATCAATGCCACACATAATTCTATATCCAGTTTTTTTACTTCAGTTGAGATTTACATTTGAAATTCAGCTTTTTAAGGTTTCAGCTGCTTAATGCTTCAAGCTGTAGAGTTTCACGCTGCTTGAGTACCTCTTACTGCATTAGCCGTTTACTGTTAGCCCAACATTTTTTTGCAAAATGTATTGCAATATAAAATACATAAAATATTAAATAAGAAAGTGTTACATCATGGTTACATCACACATTGGTCAATAATGCTGAAATAAACCCTGTGCTAATTGCGCTTTTCCATGCAGTTACAGGACTGGGGCTTTTCAGCTATTTAAGCTTTTGCGCTATATATTCAGTCTTCTAAAGCCATATGCTAGCTGCCTAACAGAGGTGGAAAGTAACGAATTACATTTACTCGCGTTACGTAATTGAGTAGTTTTTTTGTGTACTTCTACTTTTTTAAGTAGTTTTTAAAATCTGTACTTTTACTTTTACTTAAGTATGTTTTCTTTGAAGTATTGTACTTCGCTACATTTGAAATCGTATCCGTTACTGAGTAAAAAAAAAAAAACACACTCCGGAAACTACTGCATTGATTGAAGGGCGGGAGAACAAACGCGCAAAAAAAGGTGACGCAGACACAGCTGAAGCTGAAACCGAAGCGCCACGCGAATTATGGCCAGTAGGAAAATACTTTGTAGAAAAAAAGCGTGGTTGTCTTCGAGGATAGATATCCAATTTGCAAAAAATGTGGACGCAAAGTGGCTGCAAAAGGAGGACATAGGACACCATCCCTCCTGCAGATAAAGGTATGTCCCCATGTACGTGATCCAGAGGGAACCCCGGAATCCAGTCATGAAAATGAAATTTACATAACGCAGATGTCACGTAAAACACGCAAAATAATGGATGGATGAATACATGGAAAGTAGAACTGTGCAATAAATCCAATCGCGACATGGTCTGTGAATATTTAAGCTTAGCACAAAAATACTGCATGTAAATATAACCCTATTTGTTCTGCTGAGCTGCGCCGCTTTGTCTACTACATAGTCAAGTAGGCTACGCGTGACATTCAGAGTCTCACAAACAATTTGAGGATATGAATACATGAACATTTCCAGAGCTGCTCTGAGAGAACGCCTAATGAGCATTTTCATAATTTTATTTGAGATAAACCATTGTCAAATACACTTTGAAACACTTTTTTTACACTTTTGGTCTTCACTACAACCCGTCAAAATTAAAGTTTGGTTTTACTAGGAGAAATTAGGACAGAAATATATTACTATTATAGGCATACAATAGAACGTAGCCTAGTTCTCTAAATAATAACAACAATAATAATACATTTTATTTAAACATTATTTAAAGGAATATATTTTTTGTCCATGGTTTAATTTAGTAAATCTGTTTTTGCAGCGCTTCCCCAAAAAATAAAAGGACACAATTTTAAATTTACATTTGATTACAACCGTTTTTGATCATATATTTGGATTAAATCATAAAAAGAAACATTCATTTTCTGAATAAAATGCATTTCATAGGACAATATTTTTTAAACATTTTAATAAATTATTAATGTTAAAAATAAGTTGTTAATCTAATTCATTATCAATTATCAAATTTAATTGATTAGACATGTTTTATTGAAATTTTAATAAACAAAACAAACAAATGGTTTCAAGTTTGTTATAATAATTTGTTCAACCAAAAAAAAAATCCTGTTTTCATTAAAGGGGCACTTCACCTCTGGGAAGATGAATGTGTATTTAAAATGGGTCATTTATGTAGAAGAAATGTGAAATTATTTTTGAATTTGGAGCTTTCTAGACTGAGAAAAGCCAGAAAATGTATTTTTGGCTTATGTGGATGAAAGACAACAACTCCCAGAATGCAATTGCTTCGCTGCCCTAGGAGGCCACGCCTACCGGTAACAGAGCGCAGTAGTTAAACAACAAGCCTAGGCTAGTGAGTCTCCGTGATGAGTCTGCCCGGGTTTTTCGAGATCGCCCATAATGTCCAGGATTCGGCTTTTGCGTTCTACAGTCGCCATTCATCATGTTTACATGGCGAGCAGGATGACGCTAGGGCCGCGGGAGAACGGCGCGAGGCCGGTGGCGTGATTACCGATGAGCGACACCTGTGAGACGCAAGTGACCCTTTAATTGAATCCTGAAGTGACCCTTTAATTTAACTGTCATTTTAACTGATGATAATAATAATAATAGCAATACACATAATTTAATAATACAGTTTATTTAATAATTAATTAATACTGTAAATCATGATATTTTCTGAGACGTTATCATACTGTGAAAATCTCATACCATTACAAGCCTACACGGGAGAGTCCCCCACCCGCAGTAAATTTTAAATGAGCTACTTTTTACTTTTACTTGAGTAGATTTTTAGACCAGTACTTTTACTTGTACTTAAGTAAAATTTAATTGAAGTAGTAGTACTTTTACTTGAGTAGAATATTTTATTACTCTTTCCACCTCTGCTGCCTAATGATAGCTTAAGTTACTTTTTCGGTTGAGCATGTAGTTTTGTAAAAAACACTGTGTGTCTGATCATGTGTGTGGCGATTTAAGAGTCAGGAGTGTTGCGAGGGAGACTTACTGGTTCTTCTCCACAGATAAAATCAGCTGTTGTCCTTCTGCAAGGATTAGGATGCGCAGCAAAACAGGAGGTGTCTAAATAAATGAAAAACAAAACAATCACTTCATGTCCTGTTTTCCCGTTTCAACCAATTTACTCTAAACCCTGCAGCTTCCCAATTGAAACACACACACACACACACACACACACACACACACACACACACACACACACACACACACACACACACACACACACACACACACACACACACACACACACACACACACACACACACACACACACACACACACACACACACACAGAGCCTTCACACCTTTAAATGACTTCCAGTTTTGATCCAGTGCACCAGACAGAGCCATAGAGCCAAAAAGAAGCCCTCCAAATGTCATTTTGCACATAATAATGTGTCAAGCACTGCACAGGGCCAAAGCTTGTGTGTTCATGTATAGCCACTGCATCTTCATTCACTTGACTTATTCAAAGACATGAGGAATATGAACTGAGTTGTACACACAAATATAATTTAAACATAAACCGATTCTTGATAAATTATGATAAACAAGCCAGCAGTGTTGCCAGAAAAGTTCAAGTGAGTGAATCTTGGTGAATCGGGGTGGACCTCTATGCTGTAAATGTTCTCAGAATTTATTGTGAATTTTATATATGGCTTTTCCTAGCCTATATGATACAATATATTTGTTTTTCGCAACCTAATGTACAATTGCACCGTTGTAATTTATGGTATTATCTTGCTGTTTTGTGTGTGTGTGTGTGTGTGTGTGTGTGTGTGTGTGTGTTTATGTTCAAATATGTGTTTACTTACAAAAAGTACCATGATAATACTTAGTTTTTTTGGACATGGCCCTATGATAATTCCATGTGTGTACAGTACATCTGTATTCTTCTGTTTTCTGTGCACATTATTATTTTTATTTTTTCACATCGCAAAACAGATTCATGCATGTGTGTACTCCTGAAATATTTCTGAATAACTCTTTTTTCTTACTAAACAGCTGAAAGAGCATATCTTCCTCCATTACTCCAGCTGGACTGATTTGGCTTTGGGCCATCAGTCGGGCCACTCATGGTGCAGACCGACAGGTCCTTTATTCTGAGCTGGATTTCCTCCCTGAAATACACTACCCTCACCACAACCTCAATCTACACCAGCAAATGTTTAATAGCAATCACCTCGGAAAGCAAAGCAAAGCCAACCATTCGCTAGCACTGCATTTTCATGACATACAAAACTTTTTCCTAACAATGCATTAAAGACATCCCCAACATCTCAGACAGTTATAAAAAGCTCTGGGTGTCGAGTTTTCAATGCCTAAGCCTCCGAAACGGGCAGTGAAATGGACTCTAAGTGCTATGTGCCAGAATCAGACATTGCTCTGAGCTACGGAAGACGTTTGACTGTAATATTCACTGGAGCTCGAGTAACTCAGTGCGGAGACTGGAATCAATTAAGCCTTAATGACGAAGACCATGTGACTTTTTGCGACAATGTCGCCACGGCTTCAGGCACTTAATCTAATCTAATGTACTCCAAAACAGTTTTCAAGATTCATCACCTCATCACTCAGCCTTTGTGCCTCTGGTGCCGTTTGGCAGTCAGGCCTTTCACTCATTTTCACAAATTACCCTTTTAGAGCTAAAAGGCTATGGCTCAATAATGATACTGACTATGGGAGTCATACAGTACATTGTGAACTAATTTGTACCGTAGTCTAATGTTATACCATTTCGAACTGAAGTGAACTTGCACTGGACTCAATATATTATTCAATGCAAGTAAAGAAGTGCAAATGACTTTCTAGAGGTTTAGGGAAAAACGGTGAGCAACAATATATACCGTGCTCTTTCTTACCCTGGAGCGGAGCCAGCTGATTGGGCGCTGCTCTGTTCCTTCCAGCAGTAGCGGTGCCATGGTGTGGTAGTGTTTCAGTTTGTCGAGCACACTTTTTAGTTGCCTCCCTGCACAAGCGACAAAAAAAAACCTCCCATTAGGGTTGCAGTGGATACCAGAAACACAATATGTGGTGCTGCTGAGCTCTCTCTCTCTCTCTCTCTGTGTGTGTGTGTGTACTGGAGGCAAAAAGTTCAAATGACCAAAAGTTAAATGTGGAATTGCAAACTGAAGACAGCAGTAAGTATGCAGTGCTGCAGTAAATTAGGACCAGTATAAACAGACGCTGAGATAAAGACCATTAACTCAATAGAAAACCTGGAAGAGAATTAGTATTAAGTCATGGGTTCCCTCAGGATTTCTAATGTTTTTTTAGGATGGCAATTTCAAATTATGAGTAAAATAAGGTGCCCTATGCAACAAAATTCCATTACTGAACATTCAATTGTTGCCTTACCACAATTCACTATGCTTAGCCTACAATAATGATTCATATTTTGAGTGGTCGGACGTCTGCCAACCATATTCAAATAAATGTGGTGTAGGATTTACTTTAAAACAATTTTCTCTCAGAAATTTCTAGTAAATTTCACAAATAATTACAAAGAAACAGCAAGTAACACATTGAATCAAACATGAAATTTTGAAGTAGAAAGACTATAACAGTATTTTCTTGTAAAACATACTCCAGTAATTTTTTTTACAACTTTGAAAAACAGTGTATAATAAAATGTTATAAGCCATGAACCAAACCACACACATTACAAGCTTTGATTTAAAGCTATACTGTTTATATAGTAATTTGAGTATATTGTGTATCTGATGGCTTATTGATTAACAACCAGTAGATCTATATTATTCTTTTAAGGTTTAAAGTTATCACTAAAATTTCAATTCCTCTATGGTGAAAATGGAGATTTATTATTCTGGACCCCAACTATTTCAAACTATGGAGGCAGATGTAGTACTTGCTAAGTAACCTTATACCTACAGTAAGTACCTTAACCACATATGGTGATAGAGAGGCAAATGTTTTGTAGTGAAGCTTCAATATTACCAGGAGAGACTTTTACCTGAAGGGACAATTGTGGTCTATGATATGAAATTGTTTGTGTGCTTTTAAAATGTTAATTGCTAACACGTTGCTGCTTACAGTTATGGAATACAATGATACATCAAGCACATAAACCCACATCCTTGCAAGCATTCTTTTCAAATATTAATGGAAGCCCATGTATTTGAAAACTGAAAGAACTTTCTGTGTAAAGAACAAGGAGTTAAGTTGTCTGCTGTGTTCCATTCAACTCATAAAGTCTGAATTTTCAATGTCATATTTGAACATGGAAATGTGCAACAGACCTGCACTTGATAGAATTTCAATTTATAATCTCATAAGGAAACTCTGATACTTGCGAATGATGTAAAGTGAACATGGCTGCACCCTGAGAGAATTATATTCACTTTTATCTGTATACTATGATGAATCAAAAGAATGCTTGATGAATTAGCATTTCAGGTTGGGCTACAATTTGATTTCATAACTGAACAAGTCTCTAAAAAATTTATGAAAAACAATGAATGTATGGGTATGTTGAGTGCATGTCATAATTTGACGTCAGTATTTGTATGAGCTATAGAGGAATGGGGTCCAAAGGTTTGAGGCCCTTGATAAAAAAAAAAAAGATAAAAAAAGCTTATTCTTTTAGTACAAAATTTCATTCTTTTTCTTACACTGGCATGTAATGAATGAGAAGAATGATAAACTTGACTTGACTTGCTTCTGTGTTTCGTGAGTGTAGTTGCGTCATCAGTCTAAATCAAAAGGCTTCTCTCTTCTTTCCCCTCAGTGAAAGCGTTGTGCCCCCACAGGGCCAAAGCGTTCCATCCTCAGCTGAACCTCAACACTACGGAATCCATTATGAATGAGGGCGACAGACATGGAAAGAGAGCAAGAAACGGAGGGGGGGGTGTGTGTAAGAGAGACACATAGGCACACAATAGAGCAGTGCAGCCTTAAGAGCGGCAGAAGCAGCGGAGTGACAGCACAACATGTTTTTCTCTCTTCTCTCTGAGGGCCGGATCCCTCCATTCTTTCTTTCTCTCCCTCACTGACTCACATAAACACACACACACACACACACACACACACACACACACACACACACAAACACCCGTCATATGCATTCTGAAGGAAAATGATTCCATTCAAGATAAAAGTTTAAATATATTTGTTATTTTTATAATTAATTAGACAGAAAACTTGAATTTGATAGGTCAATCGCAGCATTCTGCAGTCAAATACTTTTGCATTGTTTTTGACATTTGCCCCAATTTAGTGGCCATTATACAAAGAATATTTGCATGTATGTACTCTCATGCCTTTCCTTTTGCATTTAAATCTTCATAAAAGAAATCCTGAAGGTTATAAAGAACTTTATTATTCCACCTTCACGAAGAGACGAGAGCCATCCATTATGTCGCCTTGTTTATCTAAATGCGAGGTAAGGTGTAGATTTTGGACATGTATCATGCTAATTTCATTGTATTTTTTTAAAATAGTTTGGGCTACCATAAATGCATGAATATGGTAATTATTCAGTTAAATAGTTCTTTCAATTCAATTATGGATTAAATCCAGGTACCATTGTATTACCATTTATTAGGGCTGGGTTGAAAATTTCTCATTTTTAATCGAATCTCATTTTGATGAACCATCGATTCCTAAATCCCAATAATTGATATTTTAGTCTATGCTGTTTTTAGCTGTTTTGTGAACAAAACATCACTAAACATTAGTTGTTGTAGCGCACAGCCCATCCAATAAATAACAATTTATAGATTCTCAGCTTTCAGATTCTGTCCATTTTATTATGAAATTCAAACAATAAATTCAAAGTTTTGTCATGAAACTCTAGATGCCGCAAGCTGATAGGTCCTTAACTCAATTTGCGATTACATTGTTATCTACATAGCACAGCTGATTGGTCACTGTGGCATCAGCAGCCAATGAGCTTGCTGTTTAACATTCAGATGCGTGGCATTGTTTGCTGTTAGCAGTCTGCAGTGCGCTTTCAGAAACCCTCCACCTTCCCCAGCTCCACCTGTATAGAATTGTTTTGGGGGTTATTTCATGTATGTTACATGCTTAACAAAATTAACATGTACTGTACCTGATGTATATCCAAGTCAATCTATATTGAATCAACTTAAATCAATATTGCAATCGAATCAAAATGCAAGCTTGTGAATCAAAATGATCAAAATTAATTAATTGTGTCAATCAATACCCAGCCTTACCATTCAGTACCACAACTTAATAGAGAAATAGAGTTATAATAGAATTAATAGAGAAAATACTCAATGAGAAACGTGTCAGCTCATAATAACACATATTCGGTCGGTTGGGCTCACTGGGCTCATAGCTCTCTGCTGCTGGTTTCTCAGACACCAATTATTACCCACGATTCAGCATTCTGAGGGAGACAGGAAGTGGCAATGTCAGCCCCCAGCCCCCCCACCCCCAGACCTAATTTCCTTTCTGTCGTTGCCATTTACCCTTCCCTCTCCTTCTTCTGTTTTTGTCCAAGGATTCAATTTAGGAATAAGCTTTGCACACTTGCATAAAACTGGCATTTGTGTGTAATCAGGAAAAGAGTAATAAATCGTCATGATTTTTACCTATTCATGCATGCAAGAACATACACATGGATAGATAATATACAGTAAGTCATTTTACATCAATTAATTAATATTACACCAAATAACCTAATAAATATTATACCAAATCACCTAATAAATATTACACCAAAAACTACCTTTGAAAAAATGGCAGTGACACACTCCAGTAATGCTATCGGATAATAAAACCATGTACTTTAAAATATGCAGTAGAACTGAAAAGTGGCCAATATTCATGTGCTATTTATTTTCATGGTATTGAAGGGACTTCAAAAACCATGGTAATACATCAGCAAAATCACCAGAGCTCAAGGTATTTCATTGTCACCGGTATTCACACACCAGCCACTGTTATTGTACATTGTCTAGCTGTGGATAAAGCTCTCCCTGCATGTAAGCAGAGCATAAACATCCTATTTACTTTCTACACACAAACTGGTTAATAACAATAAACTTCTCGACTACCATGATCTCTGAAGTTATTAAACAATATGCTTCTGTTGAAGTTGTCATTCAACATTAGTTTCATTAAAATAATTGTACAAACAAGTAGCCTTCTTACAATCTTAAACAAATATATATATATATATACACTACCGTTCAAAAGTTTGGGGTCAGTGAGAATTTTATTTTTATTTTTTGGAGGAAAGAAATCAATACTTTTATTTATCAAGGACAGTAAAGACATTTATAATGTTACAAAAGATTCTATTTCAAACAAATGCTGTTCTTTTGAACTTCCTATTCATCAAAGAATCAAAAAAAAAAAAAAACTGTACAACTGACAGACCAACAACTGTTTCAACATTGATAATAATAATAAATGTTTCTTGAGCATCAAATCCTCATATTATACTGATTTGTGAAGGATCATTTGACACTGAAGACACTGACACTGGTGATGCTGAAAATTCAGCTTTGATCACAGGAATAAATTACACTTTACTATATATTCACACAGAAAACAGCTGATTTACACTGGAATAATATTTAATACTATAACTGATTTTTGTTGTATTTTTAATCAAATAAGCGCAGCCATGGTTAGCAGAAGAGAATTCTTTTAAAAGTATTTAAAATCGTACCGACCCCAAACTTTTGAACGGTAGTGTATATATATATATAGTTTTATATTGTCATTGTTTTTTATTTGATTCCATCAATTATATACTGCATCATGGGCTGCATAGTTCATTGTCTAGCATTGTTTGCTTTTTAAATATATGTTTGCTTCAAAACAAAGTGTGTGATGTCTTCATTCATCTCAGGGCTGGTTAATTTGGTTTACGGCTTTTTAAAAAAAAATCCCTATGGAGGAAATGAATGGGGAAAATTCTTCCGGAACCAAGGCTGCTGAAAAAGTGGGCAGTCATTGTTGCACTCTATATGC